TAAACTGCGAGCATGTCACAACAATGGGCCGCGAACGCGTCTAACCAAAGCGTGGGCAGCGGGGCAGCTACATCACTGTATGACACGATTAGGTACAGTACTATGATAATTTGGCTGCGTGATATTTTACTTTTTATCTTATCTTTGATACTAGTAGACTTTTTGCAGCCAGTCATTTAAAAACAAAAAGACCGGCGGAGTTTTGCCGTTTTAGTTGCTGAATTGATGTGTTACCACTGTCGCGAGGCTGGGTGAACTTTGACCCATCAGTCGCTGTGCTGAAGTGTGCTATGTGCCATGCGCCGCGACTTTTGTGCGTCACCAACGGCATTGTGAGCCGTTTTCATAAAATATATGATCAAGCATAAATACAAATGCTATTACTAACCAAAGTCTTAAGATTAAGACTTAATGTTTCTATATTCTCTTTCACCTCTTTTACGACATTTCATGCAAATGACGTCCAACATGTACTCATGCTGCAACACATTGCTCGCCCATGGGTGCGCTGCACACTGACACATATATATATAGCAGATAGGAAGATGGCTGCCAAATTCGCTCGAACCTCGCTTGACCAAACTGCGAGCGCGGATAACTGCGCCGAAGCAGCGAACCCAGCCGCACCCTGTGGTGCCACATGATTAATCGCTGCCTTACTTAGAATAATTCAGCGTAATGCCCTGCGGTATAGGTAAAGCCGGCGAGAAATCGCCGTCAATGAGGCAGTTCTGGCATGTGCCGAATTTTTGAGACTTTGCACGTCAGTGCGAGAATACAATCGACATGTTCGTATTTCGTATCTTTGTTTGGTTTGCGCGTTCGCTTTTTTCGTATAAAACGATTTCTATTTTATTTTTATTTAACGCCCTGAAGTTATTGTCGTACATATCGCTGGCCCATAGGTGCCGCCACGAGGCTCTCTTCGAGCATTTCGCACATAATTCTGGAGACGGCCCAGCGGTGCCCTAGTTTCGACACGCTGCAGTAACTGAATTTAGTGATAGACGAAGTAGACTTGCCGCGACATTTAACGTCGTGCCAGTCTACCTGGCAATCGTGACATCGCATGTGTTCGTTTCCGTAGCTCTTGCTTCTTTATGAACCTGTTCGCCCCGGCGCTCGGCTCTCCGTTTTGCCGTTTTTGCATATTACCAGCCACTGGCAGGAAGGTACAGCCACACCTGATCATCAGTTCGTTTAGACTGAGCACACTAGCGCACTAGAGACCGTTGTACAGATGGCGTTGCGCAAAGAGATGCGTGTGTTACCCCGAGCCGCGACTAACTTATACTACTAAGCTACTACGTACTATAGTAGTATCTCTAGTTCGCCACACTAGTGATCGTCAGTACTGTACTAGCCAGGACGCAGGAGCTAAGAGTCAATGAGTAATATGATAATCTGGTGTTAGGTAGTATTAACTAAGACTTACTAATAATGACGAACCCTAAGGCCTAACCATAACCCTAACCTATTATATTGATATAATATTATATTTAGATTGATGTAAATGACATTGGTTTTATTGGCCATGGCCATACATTGGGCCCATATAATTTGGGAGCATGTTCTCGTATCTTGACACACTAGTACACTAGAGCTTACTATACCGAGCTGAGCAGAACGCTCTTTGCTAGGGTAGATATCCCTAGGGCTATACTAGTACAGCAGGCCTTGAAGGTTTCAATAAATATTAATGCTTAACTAACAATCGAAATCTATTTTACTACGAAATTGTTATGTTTCTGGTAGATGGCCTAACTCTCTTTCAAGAGGTTGATGAGTGCAAAGGCTATATAGGTACTAGGTACTCGCCTCCCACCGTTCGATTAGACCATTGAGTGCTACAGCTAAGCGAGAGTGTGCCGAGAGAGCTGCCAGTCTATGGGCTATAGGCGGCGGTGCAGGCGGCGGCACTGCTTTCAACTCCCAGTACGAGCTCGCCATTGGGAACGTTGCCTAACGTGTTGCAGCGTTGGGGCGCGATAGACGCTCGGTTAGGTGTTTCGTGATTCCTGACAGCGCGTTTATTACCTGGGCAAGGTTCGCAGAATGTCAGGAATTTCGACAGTCTTTCGGTGATTTGCGTGACGCTCGGTTACGAACAGATTACGTGTTACAGTTGTTTATAGCAAAGTCAACTGTTGCACGTCCCAATGTCTACCCTCTGTTGTCCCCACTTAAAATTGCGACTGTTCGCTGGCGAGCTATGGATCGTGCGCCGCGCTTGCATTGGCGCACGGATTCCATAGCTGCAGCGCTGCATAACTGTCGTAGGCGTTCGCCGCCGAGAGTCGCGTGGCCTTGCCGCGGAACTGCGCGAAAGATTCTGCGCATTCAGCGCAATGGGATCAACATCTCCTGTTCGAGCAACGCTTCTCTGTATCCCGTCTCATCTGGATTTACACGAACTTACAACACAACATTCAACCATTCTACTCGCAGCTTCTGTTTCTATTTGAGAAAGTGTTACTTGTTAGTAAAAGACGTACTGTCTGGTGTCATAAACCGCGGCTGTGTCACGCGAAACTCACACAAAGCTGCAGGAAATTTCTCGTGCGTTCGCTCCGGTTGCGGCAAGTTTTATGTAACGGCGTCTTGAGATACAGGGCTATAGAGCGGGCGCTGCATTTTGAGGAACTAACACGCTGCTTTCCACTCGCTGTAAAAGCGCGTTCAACAGGCCGCCAGTGCCGCGAGGTTGCAAAACGTGCATGCGTTAGGCGGCCGGATAAATGGAGGTCCAAAGAGCGCCGATGGGTGTTCCTGATTCTGACAGCCATTAGCTTATAAATCTGCGGCAACAGGAACAAGAGTGAGAATTTCGTCAGGCTTTGTATGATTTCGGCGTGACACAGCTCGGTTACGCACATCAGCAGTATGTTTTTATAACAAGTGAACACTGTTCATTCAATAGAACAAGATGGAGTAGAATGGTTGTATTATTTTGTGTTGTATTCGTGTGAAATCAACAGCGAGCGCAGCAAATTTGGCAGCACAGCTTTCCTAGCCTGTAGTATGTCAGTGTGCACGGCGGCGCGTGTATGTGCAGAGAGCCAGCTTGGGACGCGTCATTTTGCGGAAATTGTCGGCGAATATCAGGGGCTCCGAATTCAGACGGTAATCCGCTATCGTAGGGTAATTACCCTCGGATTACATGAGGAACCCTGAAGGGAATCTCGTAGGGCAGATTACTTAAAATAACTTCCGTTTACAGTGCTCTTCCACCTACCGTGGAAAAGCAATTATCCTTGTCTCAAATCATTAAAATGTACACAGAGCATGCACCAGAGTCTGTGGTGTCGAGCGATTATGACGAATTTCATTCAACTATCCTGCAAATTGTACATACACATAAAATGCTGAGCTGCCACGCTAGAAACAGTATGTTTTACTTTAAGGTATTTTATTCAGAGACAATTTGTCATGCATGGCAATTTGTTTCTTGGCATAAGTAAAATAAGTCCTAGCGCTGTCAGGATTAACTTTGATTTGAGGCGGATTTGCTCATTTGTGAATGAACAATTCGTAGCAGATTAGTACTCAACTGGGGAAATCCGAGGCGCTAGATATATAGGCTGACAGACAGTATACAGAAGACTTTGGTAGTAAATGAGATTTGTTATGTATTTATTTGCATTGTATTTTACTTGAAATGCTCCACGTGGCCTGTGGTCGTTACGTCGGGTCGCTGTCGGTAGATGGTAGTCTGGGCCGCTTTAGCCACGGCCGGCGGAGCTCATCGATCTCCATGGAGGATGAACTCATCCACGCTAGCCGAGCTCACCGCATCTCCAGACGGGTGAACTCGCCACAATGCAGGTGCGAGTTGGCAGGTGGGCCGAGTTGACCGTAGACCGTATGTAAGCCTATGTATGTGGCTAACGGTCCATTAGGCATTACTGCATTAGGACTAGGACTCGAGTGTTCCCAACTTTGATATCATTAAATTGATTAATGATTGATAATCCTAACCCTAACCTAAATGACATTAAACCACAAATTAATATATGACCATGACCATATATATATTATATATGTTATTATGACCATTAATGACATTAAAGTTGGGAACACTCCTAATGACAATGTAATAGAGTATCACCCATGTATGTCGTATGCACAAATAAACATCTTTGAATCTTGAATCTTGAGTTGCATGATCTTAGTCTTACCTGTTTCCTTAACTACAAAACACTTTTTGATTGGCCCAATGTGACTAAATGTGCTTTCTAACTCATTATTCGTCGCAGAGAACGGCAGGTTTCGAATGAACAACGTTTTAGTAGACATAGTTTACGATGTGATCGACGGTATCATTGCTAGCAAAATAAAAACGGATCGCGACTTCAACGTGTGTTCGCTCATGGATGTTGGGTGCGAGCCTGTATGTAATAAAATTAAAGTAGTCAATGTTGTTTTTATAAAATGTACAAAATACAGCTCAATATTAATAAATTTAGCTTGTAATAAATAAATCGTGTATTATTCACATTATAAAACTTCATGCACAGCCAATACTATTAATTACTTTGTTGTTAGGCCAATCGTACACGAGCGTTTTATGTAATGCGAGGTAAAATGGCGTCGTCTTAATCGTAATTTTGATTCTTTTGTTTTGAGAAAAACATATACGATTTCAAAATGACAGAGTACGTTACTGTTGAAAACAACAAGCGATTGAGAGTTTCCAATGACGAAGCGTCGGCTGAAGCTACAGTTTTAGAAAAGAATGGACACGCTGTGAGTATGCGTTTATTTCCTGTATGACCGTAAATGACATCTTTCGTAACACCGGCGGCACTGTTTGTTGGTAAAGTAAAGTAAGCTTTATTTAACGTCGGTAGTGTTGTACAGAGAACATAAGCCATGGCTTTTCCGCCGACCAACAAATATAAAATTAGATAAGATATAAAATGTTCAGCAGATAAACATTTGCTGATTTAGCACGAAACATAGGCCTAGCCTACATAGAATTCCATTTGGTATCATGTAGGCCTAGGGGCCTATCGTATCTTTATTGTTTATGTTGGTGTCAAATTCAATTGCTATCAGTGTACCTACACTCCTAACACTGTGCTAATCCATTTCCATGAACAATAGTAACACATGCTCGGGTTATATAATACGCTGTGGCTATATGCCCGGCAGCCGGGCACGGTCTTCGTTTTCCTAAATGCCCGGCAGTTCTTAACCCTAACCCTAAACCTAACAAAAACCCTAACTCTAGCCCTAAACCTAATTTATACGCTGTGGCTGTTGTACCCAAACTTGGAATTTCTGTGCATCCTGAGTTTTGGCAACCAATCTTGAGATTGGGCAAAACCTAGTTTGGGCAAGGTGAGCAGGGGCCAGGGGTTGCACAAACTTGGAATCATAGGCTACGAAATGTTATATCATTACAATGAGTTCCCATATCTTATTTCTTGATTGTGTTTGCATATTTCCATTATTGGTTAACAAATTATATGGATAATTGAGATAATTTGCTCAATAATAGGAAAATCCCTAGTTTGGGCAAGGTGAGCAGGGCTTGCACAAACTTGGAATTCATAGGCTACGAAATGTTAATTTCTTCGGTATTCTTCAATGTGTTTGGCAAATGTGTCTTTGTTAAAATAATAAATGATTATATTAGATAATTTGATAACTATTAGAGAAATTTCTTCCTAGTTTGCCTCAGTTATACTCGCATATGCCACAATTGCCATTTTAAAAGTGTAATTGAGTAAGCGACTGTTTTCAGTGTGCGCAATCTTGAGATTGGGCAGCCAAACTAGGAAATCCGCAGTTTGGGCAGCACTATCACTGCGCGATCTCAAGATTGTGCAAATTCCAAGTTTGGGTACGACATGGCTATATATGCCCGGCAGCCGGGCACGGTCTTCGATTTCCTAAATGCCCGGCAGTTCCTAACCCTAACCCTAACCCTGGTTTACTTGAGATAACGCTAAAAATTAAAAACTGCCGAGCATTTAGGAATCTTGCCCGGCAGCCGTCAGATATATGCCGGCTGCCGGGCATATAGCCACTCTGTAATTTATACGCAGTGGCTGGAGGTACGGCAGCCGTCGTTCGTTGAAGCCCCTTTTTGGCGTTAGGGTTATGGATAGGGTTAGGGTTCTAGCTCATCTAAACTCTCAAATCGTGAATTTATTTCCCAAGGCGTTATTTCGAAATCTGGCGCCACCCGCCGCCATCTTTGTCTTGTTAAGTATGAAAAACGAATGGACTGCCGTACCTCCAGCCTCGAGACATTAAGATATGGCTGCCGTACTAGTAGCCACAGCCTAATTTATAATGTAGAAATATAAATGTTTTTGAAGCACAAAAATGTGTCCCATGACATGGGCATGGCCACAGGCACTTGAAGCGTTTCAATAAAATATAATGCTAAATAAATACGAAACCTATTTACTACCAAAGTCTTAATGTTTCTATACTCTCTTTCACCTGTTATTGCCGACAATTTCCTACAAATGCCGTCCAAATGCTCATCTGTAACAAACGCTGTCTGCCGCTGCACACTGACACATAAATATATAGCAGGTAGGAAAGCGTGCTGCCAAAATTCGCTCGACGCTCGCTTGATTTTACACGAAATACAACACAAATATTCAACCATTCTACTCCATCTTTGTTTCTATTTGAAGAACAGTGTTCACTTGTTATAAAAACATACTGTCTGTGTTCGTAACCGAGAGCTCTGTGTCACACTAAATCACACAAAGCCTGACGAAATTCTCTCATTCGCTCCCGTTGCGCAGTTTATGTAAATGGCTGTCAGAATCAGGAAACACCCACCGGCGCTCTTCGTGACCTCATTTTTGTGCTGCAACGCTCCACTGGCGGCTTTGACGAGGCTCGTACAGGAGTTGGAAAGCAGCGTGGTAGTTTCCCAAAATGCAGTGTGCCGCCTATAACCCTGTACTTGCAGACATTTACATAAACTGCGCAACGGGAGCGAACGCGAGAATTTCCTCAGGCTTTGTGTGATTTCGCATGACACAGCTCGGTTACGAACACAGACAGTATATATTTTTATAACAAGTGAACACTGTTCTTCAATTAGAAACAAAGATGGAGTAGAATGGTTGAATATTTGTGTTGTATTCATTTGAAATCAAGCGAGCGTCGGGCGAATTTTGGCAGCACGTTTTCCTACCTGCTATATATTTATGTGTCTGTGCAGCGGCAGCCAGCGTTTGTTACAGATGAGCATTTGGACGGCATTTGCAGGAAATTGTCGGCAATAATAGGTGAAAGTGAGTATAGAAGACTTTGGTAGTAAATAGATTTCGTATTTATTAGCTCATCTGACGAAGTCAGATGCAGCTTGTAGAATCGCATAGTCGACGCATATCCATGATAACGGGTTAATATAGCGAAGTCATTAAAGTTACACAGCTGTATCTTTATTACTGTACTACCGGTATAGCAAAGCCTAGCTATCATAGATTTTAGATCTGTATCTTGCAGACCCCGATGCCACGCTGCAATCAACTATAATGACTTTAGAATTATTAGCCAGCGAGTTCAGCCCCAGCACTGCCGTCCAATGGCGCTCGTGCCCCATGTTTGCCGTACCCCCGCCCCACTCACCCTCGTGGCGGCACTATCTCAGGGGTTCATTACCAGCCCTCGTGTGCTCCAAATCACAGCGCTGGCCGCCTCTACTTTCGCAGCGGTGAGCCTGAATCAGCAGACTGCTTCTCACGGACAAATCATCAATGATATTAGGCAGCGCTAAACCTTGTACAACCACGACACTCTTGCCTCTGACAATGTGACAACGCCTGTGCCACCTCGTCGCCTCACGACCTCCACAATAGCAACAAGCAGTTCATGTCCTTGTTAAAAGTCACACAAATCCATGTTAAATTCCCTCTCCTCTTCAGGGCAAAAGGTTATCGCATCTCGGGCCTGTCTCCTCT